AATGTCTAGTCTCATGCAATCATAATAATGCAATTTATTACTATTCAATTCTAACATGCGTTTGTAATGTTTTATTGTGCTTTATATAATTGTTTATATATATGTTACTGTACTTGCAATTTCGAAAATAAATAAAGTTTTTGATTGATTGATTGATTGATTGACAGTGATTTAGCCCTAAACTCTACTGATGGTTGGTGCATCTATAAAAAGAGGCACAAGGATACAAAGATAGATGTACACCCAAAGTTGAAAACTAGATATAGTTCAACTGAAGTCCTAGATATAGTTCAACTGAAGATGACTGGCATAATTCATAATAGACCATCATTCACTTAATTAAATTTCTATAATAATAACTATATTAGTTGTTAACATTTCAAAATTTGGATTTCAAAATTGAAAGGGAGCATCCGACCTCAATTGTTCCATCAATACCAACTTTGAAAACTGCAATTTGTCTCTTACATTGTGTGGCACGATCAGTTGAGAAGTTTCTGATTTCAACTGCGACTGCAGGTGTAGATTATGTGGTTCCGCGGAGAACCTCCAGCGCGAACACCTACTACAATGTGAGTGAGTTGTAGGGGACTTTGACTCCTTTGATGCTTCGGCTCTTCTAAATTTGGAGAGAGCGTTAATTGCTACCCTGCCACCGGGTTGAGAAAAAATAAAAAATAAAAAATAATAATAATAATAATGATCGATCCTTTGTCATCAGGTTGTTTTAGCTCTTTTCTTCCTGTGAAGAATGTATTCCCCAAATTCTTATAGATTTTTATGTGTCATTCTTCAATGTTGTTTTTAATATAATGGCAATTAAGTATGGTCCCTTGATATTTTGTGTCTCTAAAATGGAAAAAACTATTTAACAACCTTTGAAAACGGCATCTCAAAAAAAATTATGTTCTCTAATTATACAGTAAATTTGAGAAAGTAGAAATAAATGTCTGATTCTATTATTAGTGAGCTTTCGATTCCCGACGGTGGGCAATGGGTACGGAGAGCTACCTGACCGTCACGAACGCCTCCCGTCCTGTTGTGAAAACATTTTCGATCATTCTACCCGCTGCACGACGGTGGCTCGTACACTAATCTTAAGTTGACGTCAAATGAAAACTTTTTTGCAAACTTTTTCTTAACCTAGCCTGGTATGCGATTTAAGGAACTGAGAATGCCGAATTTACGCGTACTCCGTGAAAACATTGAAAATGAGTATTTATATGGCTTTCTTGATGATGCAGAATTTATGTTTTTATATGACATAATATGTCACTAATCCAGATTTTCAGTACAAAAACTATGCCCTATTTGATTTAAACGGATACAATGACGATGAGTGTAACAGTTATTTTAGGTAAGGAGAGGCTGCTTGCACAGAAAGCTGAAAGGCCTAGGTTTCGTCTGTCATGCATTGCACGCAACTTAAACATTCCCTGGTTCCCAGTGCATCGCTTCCCATCATATTTTAGACCGAACGTTAAATCGAGAGAAGACCGTTCTGGATTTGAACGAGACGGAGAGTACTGAACTTACACACATGCGCAGATACATTTTTGTACCATTTTACCATCCTCTCCTGTCTACCGTCATGGATCGAAAGCTCGCTATTATTAAGCTAGGAGGGCAGTGTTGCATTCTGGCCTCAATACATAATCGAGTCTGCTTCCTTATCGGTTTTGCTGGTGTATGGCTTCAGTATGCAGGTAGTTTACTCACATTTGCTAGGCATCCAGATGGCATTTCGCTACTTCTACATTAACTTTCTACTGTATCTCACAGGTCCTCTGAATCGAGAGACATATACATGAACTGCATTTTGTTTTTAGTTGCGTGCCCTTAATCAGGCCCATAGCTAATATAAAACTCATATTCCCTCAATAAAATTTCGTGGAAATATTCTTGCTTCTTTGTGCAATATTTTTCAATCATTCAATCAAATTTTATAAGTTAAATGCAGTACAATCATTGTATAAATGACTGTCACATATACTAAATTCTGAAAATAAGCTGTCTTGGCTAGGCCAGTACATCACACTTCACACAGCCAGAGCCAGAGTAGAGTGGTACCAGTGGTGGTTTATTTTCCCAGCTTTTATTTATACTTTATACAGTCAATAAAG